GATAATGCAAGACCTCTGATTTATCAAACTACTTGACTAAAAGTAATGCATTTAATTCTCTATTCAGTCCAACTCTCCGACATTAGACTTATTTCCTACAGATTATCACCTTTTTGGAGATTTTTAGTCTATATACCTGCCAGCAGGTGTATACCAATGTGATATTTTCTGATAGATTTTCAACTCCCAGTAATCGCAGTTTTTATAATGGAAGTAATACACTACTATATCATATTAGTAATCCTAATGGTGCTTATTTTGACTAATAAAGTTATTTTTTAGCTGGGTTGTTTTTAGTTTGTGGTTCAAAATGACCATTTATTTTATTCAGACCTAATACTAACATTAGCTAAAGTATATAAATGTATATTTAAAATCTTAAAAAAAATTATATTTTATTTCATACCTTTCATTTCTTTTTTTCTTTTTGATGGAATGTCTTCAGCCCGACACAGTTATTAGTTGAATAATGAATTGAAATTTTCACGATATAATGTTTGATTTATGTGATCTATAAAGAAGTTCTGCTTTTTAAATGCATTGACAAAGACATTGTTGAAAAATATTTACCATATATACTTGTGTGTCATGTGATTTTGAAGATCCAATTTTGAAGCTAATTTTAAGGGAGTTGCATCATACACAAGGTATAAAATTAGTGTATGTACTGCTGGCACTGGCTACACCATAGACCAAACTATATATCCATTTACAGTACTCAAAAAATTCAGTTGTATTTAAAATAAACATTGTGCATTAGATGACTATATACAGTATGTAAAATAAATGTTTTTTTTTTTTTTTTTTTTGCAAACCATATAAGGTGCATTTAAAAATCATCTAAAAATCATTCTACTGGTTAGATTGCTGGCACTAGATTGGCATCTAAATGTTCCTGTTTTATGCAATAGTCTCATAATGCCTATATATATATATATATATATATATATATATATATATATACACACACACCAGGTGTAACAGCAAAATTGCCCATTTGTTAAATTAAGCTTTGAACTGTTTAATCTTAGAAATGTTTAAAGATATCTTACTGCAATTCTCCAAGGTTTTTAAAACACGACTGGACTCTACTTTGAGTAATAAGAATGTACAATTACTCTCTAAGATTAACAGAAAAATCATGATGAAATCAATCGTAAATGAAAATGGCATGTTCATCATTAATTAATCATAGCTAAGGATCGGAAGCTCATAAATGGTTGAAATAAAGTTCATATATATATATATATATATATATATATATATATAATTCCAGATAATATATTATTATTATATTATTGAAAATTCACATGGGTCATCTGGTGAAGGTTTTGATTGGAACATCTGTGTGGTGCAGAGTTGCTGTATATAAAAACACAGGGATGACCCTTAAAAATAATGAAAAAAAAAAAATAACAAAAATGTTTATTAATGACAGGCTTACAGTAGCAATGGAATTCTTCCCTTTAACTTGAAAAACTACAAATATTCAGGGGTTTCAGCCAACATATACTTTATGGAGCTGTAGTGAAAAGATCAGAATTGGTCAGATACCAGCCATACGTCTTATTCTTACCCTTCATACAACCCTCTACCTTAAGTGGCTCTTGGGCCTTGTATAGAGTGAACATTAGAAAAAAAGATTTTGTACTATTTACAAAAATAATTAATGAATAGTTGAAATGAACCTGTTTTTCCATCTGGCCTCTTTGTACAGACATGTGTTTGTATCATTTCTAGTTTCAGGGCTAATATAAAACTATCTCTTAACTAAAATTTTTGGTATGTATTTATACTGTTTCTGTGACTTGACTTTTGCCCAGACATTGTTTTAGATATATGACTCAACTGAACAATGCACTCATGCTCTGACAGTTCATAAGTTTGACTTGTGTAAGCACAATATGTGGCTCACTCATTTGATGTATCCAATAGTATTGAGCCCATTTCTTTATCTTCAGCCTGGTACATCCTCTTCGATCTTGTCCTGTGATATGTCATTGTGAAATATCTGTCAATCATGTAACATAAACAAGAACCTCAATGCACAGTAAAAATATATTTTCAGCTTTTGCAATTACTGAACAAATACATTTTTCATAAATTATGTTTCTCTTAAAATTTAGTTCCTCTCTTTCAAACTTTAGTTCAAAATAAATTTTATTTTCTGTAAGCCAGATAACATTCAGGTATTTTTAGTTTACTCGTAGAATCCTAATTACCTATATCAGCCTTGGGCACCGCAGCATGGTGTAATGGTTAGCAAGCTTGTCTTGCTAGATCAGTTGCTACTGAAAAGTGAGTTTGATCCTCACTGGATGCCCCATACTTTTGGCCTTGTGCCACATCTAAGCTACACTTGGAAACCTTCATGGTTAGCCATTGCAACCAACTAATAACTGAAACTGTCACTTGTTTGTAAAATCTATTGTCATAAAATAGAATTTAAAGGCTTATAATAATGAATGTTAGGGACAATTTATACCTTTCATAAATATTTTTTAATTAGTAACTTTACCTGTTGTAGATGTTATTGTAGATGTAGATCTTATTTCAAGGCAAGACACAACAGTTTACTCCTGACTCGATAGTATAGGCTTATCAGTCTGACAAAGTCAAAATGGCAGGTGATGTCCAAAACAACCTCAAGTCCATTGTTAACTGGGGCAAAAGGTGGCTTCTTAATTTTATTGCCTCCAAAATGAAACCTCTCCAATTATCATCTGAGAGACTCCTTGATGCCTTCCAATATCATGGCTGATGCTATCCTCCAGGAAAATGACTTGTTGTGCCTTCTCGTGTTCAAGTTCTCTGCTGATATGAAGTTGAAAGACTATATTGAATCCATTGCTAGGTCAGCTGCTAAGATAGTTGATTCACTATGTAGGGTGAGACAATTTTTATCTCCAGAATCTATCTTACACATCTATAAGTCTACCATTTGTCCATGCTTAGATTATTGCTACTACATATGGCCCAGTGCCTCTGCTACTTACCTTGAGTTCCTTGATAAGATCCAAAGAAGAATCAGCAATATTATTGGCCCTGATCTAGAGACTCAGCTCTAGTCACTTTCCCACTGCTCTAAGGTTGTCTCTCTGTCTTTTCTATAAATACTTTCATGGTAATTGTCCAAATGTGCTCTTTGCTATGGTACCTAAAGTTTTTTAATTAAAGCACAGCACTAAACTGGTATTGAGATCTCAACAATTTACAGTTAAGCTGGCTAGATGTAACCATAAATTTTATGCTAAGTTTCTTCTCTCACACTTCTTGCTTGTGGTATTCATTCAGCTTCATGCTTTCCAGCCAACTTTAATCTGCAAAAATTTAAATGTAATATCAATCGCTATCTACTGTCCATCTTATTACTATATTCTCTTTTTGCTTATTAATGTTTCTGTTCTTAATTCTTCCACACCCTGTAACTCCTTGTGTTCTAGTGGCATTACTGCCTTGCTTGGGGTGATTCTGATATAAAAAAAAAAAAAAGAGAAAAAGTCTACTCTTGTGTAATGCATAATTCTGGAGACTAGGTAAAATGAATGCTAACTCATGCAGATTAAGCTTTGTTCATTTTTTTTTTATTCGTGATCTGAGACAAATTACATAGATCTTTCATATAAATGGTGAGATTTGAATGAAACAAAGTAAATTGAAGATGTTTGAATGTTATTGTGATAGTGTCAGTGATTAAAATTAACAGGTTATTTAGTCAGATTAAAATTTTTGGTAATTTTTTAGATGAAGAATTAATTATTATCATACTAATTTACTAGTCTTTCAATTGGTAGTTATATTCACAATGTTTTGGCCAAAATGTGACTAACACCCAAGATGATACTAATTCAAATATGTCAAATACATGATAATTAAAAACAAAGATTTTATTCTGTATTTTAACATAGTAAGTCCCATGAGAGGAAAATATGATACAAAGTCTTTTTTAATGTGGCGACCTATGCACCTTTACATGATATTTTTTGTTTTGTTTTTTTTTAAAATTGTTCAGTTCCCCTGGCATTTACTGCAAGTATCAGGGCATGCTCTGGAATCTGTCCCTTTGAGAAAAGTGGGGTAAGTGCTGCCTGAGAGATGGGTCCACAGTAACTAATTTGGCTTCTATACTTAAAAGGATAATACTTGTATTTTATTTTCATTTTCATTAAGTTTGCTTCTAAAATTCTCATCAGATCATAGTTTATCTTAGTTTTATTTATAATTTGTACAAGTAAAAATATAAGAATTAATAGATTTTCATATTGAGGTTTCTTTTATTTTGGCATCAGTTTTGTTTTAATGGTATACTTTTTAAGCCTTGCCCATTTTATAAACATTATATGAGGTATATTTTTATATACTACAATTAAGAATTGATTTAAAAGATTCTTCTTGAGAAAAGTCACAACAAATAGTATTGTGTGTGTAATTATATAAAAGTTTGTATAAGATTAGTATTTTAGAATTTTTAACTCAATGTTAGAAATATTTGAAAAGAATTCATTTTTCAAATATTTTCTTCAATAGAGCATTTTAAATTTTACTGTTGTGCAAAGCATAAAAAAGATTCAAAATGTATTAATTCTTTATTGAGAATTCCATATACAAAAAGAAAAATCAGAAAACATTAAAATTGGTAAAACCTTTTTATTATCTATTTAAAAATCCTAGGTTTTATCTGAAGATTAAATTTCAAACTTTAGAATGCAACATCATTTCTAATTGTTGATACAAGAATTCATCTCACAGAAGTTCGCAATGCATAATCACTCTTGTTAATACATGCAAAATTTTGCCCAAACCTTTTTTAAACGTCATCAAAGAATTGTTTATACAAAAGGAAATGAAAAGTAAGTTTTATTTAGCTTATTTTCTCAATAAGCCACCAGCATTGTTTTTTTTATTTTAAGGAGGTGATAATATTTTCAATACAACAATATTCTATTTATGCTCATTTGATAAAGTTTCTAAGTGTTGAAAATTTCTTATTACATTTTCAGATGGCTGTGAAAGACAATTAGCTGAAACGGTAATTATAATCAAATCTACTTCTATTCTTCATTAAGGATGTAATTCAACTAAATTTTAATGATTATATCTTATTCATTACTGCATTTCCTTTTTGTTCTAATGAAATTCAATTTTATCAATGTACCCAAAGATTATATATCATCTATCTATCCCTCTCTCTCTCTCTCTCTCTATCTATCTATATATATATATATATATATATATATATATAACTAATATTTAAATACCTGGATGACAGTATTGATTGAAGTAGTAAGGGATTTTGATAATTTCTTTTTTTGTATTGATGGGCCAAAGGAAATATAAATTGCAAAGAAAAACAAAAGTAAAAAAAATTTGAAAAACAATATTGAAAAATTTTATAAAAAATATTAAAAACATTTGTACCAGTTATTGTTATAAATAAATGTTACCTTGAGTTTAATAGGTGAAGCATTGTAAATTATTAATTTTTAATTAGTATTTCTTTCATCTTGATTTCATTTTTTATTGCAATTTCTCAAATTATCTGTGAATTGGAAATAAAAAATAAGCCTTTTATTTGAGGAAATTGTAATAAAGAACAAGAGAAATCAAGATAAAAGGAAATTTATTCAAAAAATGTATAATTGACAATGCATTATCTAATAACAAATTCACCTTAATATTCCTACTAATAGTACTTTTATATAAACATGAAAAACATGGTAGCAAATTGGAGTAAACTCAAGAATGAAAATCATATGGTTAGATATGAGTTTATGTACCTAGTAACATTCATTGCCTTTAATAATTTATTAATTATTTATTAATATTTCTTTCATTGTAATTTCAATTGCTTTTTATTGTAACTTTTCATCCTGCAGTTGTCAGCAAGTAGCACAGATTGGAAATAAAAAGTAAGCCTTGGGTGAAATTCACACTTGTACTTTTTTTTTTTTTTTTTTTTTTTTTTTTTTGACTAGCTTGTCTCAGTGTGATAGCTGCCTTACCAATTAGGTAATGAAAACAACCAGCTACAGAAACTCAAATCTATGCATACATAACTTTCATTCTTTTTTTTTTCTCTCCCAATTACCTGTTGTCTTATTTGTTCAAAATTATACAAAGAAAATAATTCTACATTGCTGAAGAAATGTCTTTTTCATAAAACAATCACATAAGATGATAATTTCATCAACACAAAAAATAAAATTAAAAGTAAACAATACTTGATTATAAATAAACCTATATAAAAGTATAATCAAGATTTGGTTACATCTATGTGTATTATTACAGTTAGGATATGATAAATTAAACTTGCATAATTTCTTATTTTGTAATACATTTGTTAGAAATCACTTAAACTAGTTTATCCAAATAGTTCATTATCTGATTGCTCTTGTTTACAACATAATTAGTTCATAAATTATACCTCTTTAATAATGTTTGTAAGTTGGCAAGTTATCAAAATGTAATGATTAATTAACAGAACTATTATTATCATTTAAATAAAGAATTACTACCATTTGTCCCATAATAGTTATTACATAACATTTACTATATGAAATTTATATATAAATGTAACAACTATTATGGCACAAAACTAGTATTAACATTATTTAATGCCAGTGAGAGAATCTTTAGTATTATGCAAGTAATTTTTAGTTATTGATAATAATTCCTGATGTAAAGGAAGTGATCCAAAAAAGCATCTAAACTCATTGGAGAGAAGGTCAAAAAGTTGTCTTAGTTTGTCTTGAGAGCACTGGAAGATAATGTTAAATTTCAGAAGATATTTAACAGAGCATTATTAAATGAATATATTACTATGAGGTTATTTATAAAAAAAAAACAAGGTCAGAGAATATCGGTTTGTATTTGAATCTTAGTTCTTGTAATATAGTGTAATCCTTTCAGCCTTTAACTGTGATACACAATTTATGGGGAAGAGTGTAGGCTGAATGGCTATTAGAACTAATATTACAGTAACAATTACTGTAGCAACACAGTTGTCTTAAATGTTATAGAGAGAGGTGTTGAAGAATTTGGTAAATGGCAGACATGTGGGTGGAATTTGGAAAAGTTGAGGAGGAGTTGTTCAGTGTGGCTTAGAGACTGATCTCTTGCCAATGTCAAGAACCACTAAACTCTTGTGATGAGAAGTGAATATTCATCAAAATGAATATTAAGAAGTCTGATGTGAATCATAAAATAAAAAAAAATGCTATGAAAAGAATTTACATATTCTTAACTTCAATTTTTTTGCTTTCTGCTGATAATGAAATAAATAATATAAAATTTATACAATGTTACTTTTTAAGTGCTGTATTTTTTTTAACTGAACAGTTTTATTGTTTGAATTCTTATCTTAGTTGCTTTTGTTAGCATTACATACTACATGTGTGATTCTGAAATGGCACCATGCATTTTTTTTGTTTTTGAAATGATAGTCATTAAAGATGCATGTATTTTCAAAATATTTAGATATCCCTAACTTTTTTTAAAGTGTGATATTTAAATTTTTTTTTTTTTTTACTAGTGTGTAAATAAATATGACAACATATAGGCAAAAAGCTTGTATTCATCATTAAAATACATATTTATGTTCATTGGAATCCTCACCAGTTAAGTTGTTTTGATGATGAAATTCAGTTTTTTTTTTTTTTTTGCTGTTTTCACATTTTGGTGTGATCTACTCTATGGCTTTCTTTAGATATCTTTAGATATACAGTTTATCTGATGAGCCACAAGTTTTCTATAGGATTAATGTCTTGAGATGCTGGATCCATTCCATTAATTTGGCATTTTTTTGTATCTCTTGCATGAATATACTCTCTATATGTTTCTTGCTCGTGACTTGTACCATTCAAAAAAAAAAAACCTCCAGCTCAATAACTTAGAATAATTCTCTGGATTCATCTTGACACCAAATTCAACTTTGAAGGGATCTATAATACTATTACCCCCTGCCACATACCAGTGTCTTGAAAGTCATCAGATTATTTCCATGAATGACTCATCCTCTGGCCCAGCCATCATTTCAATTCAATTATAGTTGTACATTCATCATTAAAAATTAGAGTTGATGGAAATCAGTTTTCATGTTGGGCAAAGAAGCCCGACATAAATGTTTTTCTTTGTGATGTTTACTTAAAGCTAATAGCTTGGTTGCAATGGCAGTATTTTATTACAATAAGAAACAGTTGAAATTATGATGAAGGCAACAGCTACAGAAACTCAAATCTAGCAAAAGAAACCCAACATAATTGTTTCTCTTTGTAATGTTTACTTAAAGCAGATGGTTTGGTTACTTTCATTTCTTTAACCAATGTTCTTAATATTTTACATCTTTTCTCAGATTACATTTGCAATACCAGCTTCAAATATTTATTTGTTGTTATTCAAGTCACTTTTTTTCTTTATCTCACCAATGTTTTCAATTTCTTTTTTGATTGTTTTATGAACTCTATTCATGGAAATACACATAGCATATTTTTAATTGTACCCTGAAAATATGACCAACATTGATTGATTAGTACTAATAGTGCAGTCATTAACTTGTTCTAATTTTAATTCTCTGTGTCAGATATTATACTGGTTACGACAGCTTCTTTTCTGATGTAATGGAATAACCTGTCACCCTCATGAGTGACTACACTATAGGTATCTGTAAGTCAATGGACTACAGAGTCTAGCTGGGATCTATTGAGTATGACTCAGACTTATGCAAGAACTACTGGATTGACTTGTGACGACCTTGTGCATAACTGTTACCTTTATTTTTATTGTACTAGTTTTGTACAATAAACCTCTACTTATTTTATCCACCTTGTTTTTCAAATATATATTCCTATTAGCATGGAATATAACATTTTCTTTACAAGATATTTGATTGTAATGTTTTAATCTTTTGTAGTGATGGTGACTTTTTTCTGTTATTAAAATATTTATGGACCTCTACTTGAGGTTGGAATAAACCGTTTCATTTTCCTTCATATTTTATTAAGGTGAATAAAGCTTTAGGTAAGGTTATTGGCTTTTCTGTTCTCCTTTACAGCATAATTTATTTAGCTTAACTTTAAGTGTGTGTGTCTATATATATATATATATATATATACACACCTTTTAAATAATTTTATTTCTCATCTACCAGAGGAATCATTGAACAGTTCTACAAAACTGAAGTTGCTGATAAACCATATAGCGCCTCCAGTATATGAATATATTACTGAAATAATGGATTTTGATGAGGCCTTGTCTGAACTTGAAAAAGTGTTCATTAAAGGTGAAGTTTTTGGTTGTCATATTTTAATAACAAAGAAACAAAAACTGGTAAAATTTTGGGCCAGTTTTTGCAAGCCTCTCTGTTTGTTTAGTAAAGATTAATTTTAAATATGCAATTTCAGAAGTTGACAGGGACTAGTATATCAGAGACACCTTCATTGCTATCTTCTCACATAAGGACTAGACACTTGGAAAACAGATCAATTGATTTGAATACCATCTGTGATCAGGTTGTAACCCTTGAGACAGTTACAAATCAATCTATCTCTTATATTCAAACAACTACCTTAAATGCTGTCTCTCTTAACCTCACTCCTACTGAAAGCAAACCCATAGTGGCAGCAAGAAATGCTACTTTTGTGGACTAAAAACTCCTCCTAGGGATAAGTTCCCAGCATAAAATGCTACTTGTAACAGATGTAACAAAAGAGACAATACACTAAAGTATGCAAATCACACTAACTGGCTGCTGCTATTAACTTGGTCACTGTTACCAGGACCGTCTTCCATTGCCATTTTGTTCAAGCTGTAATGAAAGCTGAAATTGATATTTCAGTCAAAGCCTTAATCAATATGTAGAGTTCTGAGAGTTTTATTAATCATGAAATTATAAAACGGCTTGGACTAACCATGACACTCATTGTTGGTACTGTAAGTATGGCTTCTCCTTTCTAAATTAGAATTCAAGGCACGAGTTCAATCAACTTGTTGGTTGGAAATAAGGAGTACTCCAATAAGAAATTAGCCATATTACATAATTTATATTACAACGTAATATTCAGTCAGGATTTTTATAAAAAGTCCTGACTCAATATTATGTAGTAGCATTCATGCATAGCCATCCTTTTTAGCAAGCTTTTGCCTGAATTGAATGTGTGTGTGGTCTTGTGGCCATGAATGTTCAACCACCCTCTCTGTTTAGCAATCTTACTCTCAACTGTAAGCCCATTGCAGTGAAATCTAACTTTTCTAACATGGATAAAGCCTTTACTGCTTCTGAAGTAAAGAAAAGAATTATTGAACCTAGTGACTCTCTATGGAAGGTTCCAGAAAGAATTACAAAAGGAGTATGGTCAATGATAGATTCATGCTATTAGATGCCTATGCTCTCCCTCGAATTGATGACTGGATACAGGAAGTAACAAAATGTTAAGTAGTACCCTGGACCTGAAGAGCACATGCCATCAGATACCACTTAAAGAAAAAAAAAATATACAGGAAGCCAACTTCTGCCATATAACTTGAGTGACTATTGGATCTTAAACTCACACCTGACCTCAAGTGGAGCTCATACATAACGAGGCATCACTAAACATGCAGATAAAATTATTAGCTTGCTGTCACTATGACTAGCTGGATGAACCCCCTATAATCCGAAAGGTAATGGTCAATGTGAGTAGTATAATGGGTTAATATGGAAGCCTATTTCTCTAGTGTTAGCTTCTAGGAAACTTATTCTTTCCAATGGGAAACAGTTTTATCTGAAGTAGTACATTCCATCAAGTCTCTATTCAAATGCCACCCCCCAACAAGAGATTATTTTGATATCAATGTCGGTCACTTAATGGCCATTCTTTACACACCTGGTTATCCATCCCTGGTCCTGTTTTGCTATGCAGATATGTTCATAATAGTAAACATCACCCACTGATAAATCTGGTAGACTTAATAGAAGCTGACCTGCAGTATGCACATGTACAGTTGACTGAGAGGCAAGAAATTATTGTTTCAGTTAAGGATTTTGTCACTCTCCTCCTCCTCCTCCTTCACATAATCCTCTGAACTGAGTGGTACCTGTAGTAATTGTAAGAGTAAACAGAGCTCATGACAACAGTAAAAGTGCTAAGCCTTATTCAACTAAACAAAGCTCAGCTACAAATGAAAATAGGAGTTACAAGTTAAATAACCAACTGGGGTAAGTCCATTGGTTGTACATAGTTAACATAGGATACTATTATTACATTCTTTGTCCCTAGAAAAATGTAGTGTTACCATCCATAATGATCTGGGGTCTTGTTGTCCATTTGGATCTCCTGACCTGTTGGACCCCAGCATCATCTCCATTATGTGATTTGTCATCCTTCTGGTATGGAGACACCCAGGGTACTCCTATTTTGTTTCACAGTGGGGGACTCAGGGATTAGCTCCACTTCAGGGCAGGATGCTAAATCATGAACAGGTACAGTATACTCCTTTCCATCTGGATACTTTATGTTGGCATAAGTCAGATTACTTTCTAAGAGTTTGACTTGGTCCACATAAGGATCGATTTTACTATTTCTTATGAATCTCCTTAATAACATGGGACTTGGTGACATTAGCTGTGTGATGAACGATGAAGTGTATGTAGCTGGGCATCCCAACTAAGCTGAGCAAAAGATTTAAGGATTTGATTAATGAGGTAGTGTGCATGTTTGGACATGGGAAGACGAATGGAAATCGTCAATAACTACCAGTAAATGTGTGTTGCATGTGGCAGAAGGCATAGATCCCTTAAAGTCTGGTTGCCTTGATAAGAGTGTTTTCTGGCAAGCTATAGAAATGAGGTTTAATTTTGGCACAGATTCTGCAAGAAGCACACACCTTTTTTTCCTCCACCATAGAAAAAGGAAGATTTTTTCTTCTAACAAAATGTAATAGTCTAGTAACTCCCAGATAGCATAGCCCATTGTGAATATTGGTAAGGGCAGAATTGGTAATGGTTGAACAAGCGTATGCTCAACTAAGTGCATCGAGAACCACGTTCTCCTTGCCAGGGTGGCATTTTATCATATAGCGAAGACTGAAAATTCTAACCACCATTCTTGAATTTTGGCATTCTTACTTTTAGTATACTATTTGTTGGTAAACATGAAGGCCACTGATCTCTAATCAGTAATTAGGGTAAAATGTTGCTGTGAAAAATAGTGACTCCAGTTCCTTTTTTAAATTGATCAAAAGCTTCAAGTGCATTTTTCTCAAGTGGAAATTTTCTTATTTTACCTATGGAACAACTAAGTATTGACTTTAAGGAACATATTTACTGGTAGTAATTGACAAATGGAAAATGTGAGTATTTATCAATTACTACCAGTAAATATGTGTTGCACATGGCAGAAGGCACTGGATCCTTAAAGTTAATACTTAGTAGTTCCATGGTTCTGGTCACCTTGATAAGAGTATTTTCTGGCAAGTTATAGAAATGAGGTTTAATTTCTGTACAGATTCTGCAAGAAGCACACACCCATGATCAAACCTTCTACTTTGGTGCTCATAATAAAATGATCTACTTGAGAACACCGAAAACCAATCCTTTATCTTGACTATGAGAATTAAAGAAAGGGAAGAATGAATTTCTCTACACCTTTGCTTGATGTTGGAATAGAATTTTCACTTCTTATTTTATTTATATTTTGTGACAGTTTTTCTGTTTTATCTTCTTTACAACTCACAGGGTTTGTTTTATGTGGGGAATTGTCAAAATATTATGACTTCTCAGCTTTTTCTGCAGACATCAACCTGTACCTCTGACCTTGCATCTCTTAGTGCTTTGGGAAGCACATTTTGTGGGACGGGGTAAATCCATTGTTGGAATGCTTCTTCATTTGAAGGCAGTAGTAATTTATTATTTTAATGTTAGCATCTTTACTTAAGAACTTTGGTTGAAAAGCTAGCTGAAATATTTTTCTGCAAGTGGAACATATCAAAATAATCTTTTGTTTGAATTTCAAGGCACATGATGTTTCTTAGATTTTTTTCTTTCTCAGAAATTCTATATTAATCATCTTTCCATTTTTAATCAACTTTCTGTATACCTTCTTTCATAGCATAGGAAGTGCATTTAAATTTTGTCTTTGTAAGAAAATATCTTTGGCATAGAATGATTTTATTTATTTATAGTTTAAGTGTTATTGAATAAAGGCATTTCTAAGTTTTTAAACAATTGTTTTGTTTGAACTATTACTCATCTTGTTTGAAATCTATTAGATTTTGGTTAATGATTTTTGTTATCTTTGTGCAGTTTAGCACAAATTTAGATCATTAAATGCGAACTTTCAAAAACTATTAAATGAATACTAAATATTTTCACTAAGTTCATATTTAAAGGAATGTTTGTTTTAAGAAAACTCTTTCTATTGATCAGTATTTTTCTGTATATGAATAACTTTTTTTTCTTGTGTTTTGAAATTTCAGAAGAGAGTTCAACATGCCAATGAATTGATAAGTGAAGAAGAAAAAGAGAGGCGGCGAGCAGAAAAAAGAAGGGCAAAAAAAAAGGTAAAACATAACATTCTTTTGTAGAGTTTCTTATAGGTTCATATATTTTTAGAATTATTATTGCCATGTATTTAATCCAATATGTCAATTGATATATTTTTCAGCCTTTATCAAATAGTAAAAATGCTGCTGTTCTACAAATCATGTAAACCTCTTAGGATTTTGCTCATTCTTTTCTTACTCTCTTGATTTTTCTCTCTTTCTCTCTCTCTCTCTCTCTTATGGCCTATAACATTGTTATCTAACTGCTAGATTATAGAACTTGTATGATCATGACAACTGAGATGGTTTATATGTGCATTACATTATGTCTCATAACATCTCAGGATTTTAGATGATGTCAGTTGTTGTTAGCATAGATTTTAGAAGCTGTTGATTAAAAATGTTATGTTATAGAATGTTAGTCATTGTATAATAAGCTGTTCTTGGTAGCATAGTGATAAGCTTAAAAGAAGATTAGATGGTTGTTGTAAAGAATATATTTTTATTCTGCAACATAGAATATTCAGTCAAACAACTGAGGAAGATATGAAATATTGCAAGTTGGGTGTGTGAAGTTTACTAGAGTATAATGTTTTATATTGGCAAGTGTGGTGCTAAAAAAAAACAACCTGAGTTTTAAATTGCACTATGATGCATGTCCCATCTGAAAACAAGGAACAATAATTCTGTTTCAAGACAAGAGACAATCCATCACAAGTATGGCATTTAACATCACTAGACAGGCCTGAGTATCTTGTATTGAGAATTAAAATATTTGCCAACAGCTTAGGGTATCTGAAGTTTTCTTGATCTGAGAACATTAGCATCTTATAATGAATTGATGATTGACTTCTTTTCAATCATCAATCTCTACCTGAGCCTCCAGAAACCATTGTCTTTTCTAAAGGTCGTAATACTAAAGAGATAATTTTATGACATCCCTGACTTAAATAATGCTCCTTCAGTTTTGTTTGGAAAAGGCTTTGATTTTTTTTTTTTTTTTTTTTTTAAACCAAGTTTAACAACTTTGTCTGAGGCATAGACTTTGAAGATGCTTGTTTAACTTCATTTCAAATTGGCTTTCTGAGTTAAGCATAATTTTGTAAACATGACTTTCTTCAGAAATACATTTCCATTCACTTATCCATCAACTTGACAAGTTTCTCTGGAAGAGGCTCTCTGTTTTTATTGAATGACAATAACTAATTTGTAGTTAAGTTTGAGTTCAAATCTCAGTAGTGTTTCATTTTTTAAATTTCAGCCTTTTACTGTTTTTACTGCTATATCAAACCTTTTACTGTTTTTACTGCTATATCAAACCTTTTATTGTTTTTACTGCTATATCAAACCTTTTACTGTTTTTACTATATCAAACCTGTTTCCAGCACCACACAAGCCTCTGAGTAAGAAGGCCTTGTTATGGAATTAGTAATGAAAGATTTTGCTTCATTATTTACATTATTCGGACTATTGTCTTCATCTTTGTTACCATATTTATTACGTTTCAGCTGTTGTATGCTCTGGCCTTCTTCAGGTGGTTGGAATGTCGAACTTAACCCTTTATTTCGCTCACTGGGGTAGGTTGTTCTAGTTCCACGTGCCATGTTTAATGGATGTCAGTTATCAGTTATCTCCTGTTAATTTCCCTCTGAAAGTTCTCCACTGCCTTAACCAGATATTGAACTCACACTCTTTTGGGTCCTGCCTGAATAATGTAAATAATGTACATAATACCTCATCTCAGAAATATAGACAGATACTGAAGATTTTGCTAGTAATTTAAAAAAAATTTAACCCTGATAATGTTGTATACCTACACAATAGCTCAGACATGGGGATGATATCTTCATATATGGTTTCATTCTGAAGCTGTACAAATACTATTAGATCATGTGAATTCTCTCAATACATCATGGCAAAAGAATACATTAAGAAGCTTATTTAGATGTTCTAGTAACTCACACAGTGTGACTATATCTAGAAAACTGACACACACATTTATACTTAAGCTTTAAGTTCCAACAACCTTATTTGTAAGAAAGTTTGTTGTAAAAGAACAAAAATAATCTGCAGTTAATAAAATATCAGTGTAGTATTTTAAAATAAAATTGTATTATAGACCCACTCACAAAAATATAAGTTTACAGTGGGAGAAGAATCTAAGCAAATGTATGGAGTTGATTCAAACTTTAATGATCAGACTGGAATATTAAAAAACTATTATTTTCACTGAGATACTTAAATTAGGCATGGCAGAACATGTATAATGGAAAAGGTCAAATCACCTTCTCTAAAAATAGTTTGAACAATTAAAATTATCCAGTCTCAACCAGATGATCATGATGAATATATATATATATATATATATATAAGGAAATGCTGAAAAGTTATCAGCTTGGTCAAAAAGAGTTTAAAAGAAATCTTGTCACTTAGATATTGATTACATCGAGCTGAGCTACACATGGATTTTCATTGTAGCATCCTATGGAAATCTGTATTAAGAAAAATTAAGTTTAGCAGTTAAGAACTCCTATTTCAGAATTCAATGTATATCCATTGTTTTTTAAATTGTTAATGGCACTCAAAATGGTGTTCAACAAAAGGTCATCTTGATAAAAATAGATTAAGCTTTTCTGACTTAGATGTCCCCACATTAATATTACTAACCACACTGTAACACTTATTCTTTTGGCTTTTATAGGCTGTTAAGGTGTAGAAGGAAAACAATTAAGTACTTTTGGAGACCAGTATATGCAGTGTATATTTGAGAAAGGCTGAAGAATGTCAATCAAAACACTAAAATAACAGGACAATGATTAAAAAATTATACAAAATAATCATAAATTTTGATGTAATAAGATGTTGATGACCTCATTTCCAATCTGGCAAATCATTAAAACAGTGTTTTCTGAGGTCCAATTGTAGTTTTGATGAAAGAGCAAGAAACTTTAATTTTCCAACATTGTGAACCTCATAACTCTGCTCAAATACAACTTTTTACTTATTAATAAAAGTAAGCATTATTAAAATTGACACAATGTTTCCAATGATCAGGAAATTAATTTATTCCATCACTATAAAGACTGGGAGTCACAGCAATTAAACTTTTGAAAGGTATTGATAACCTGGTCTGCAGTAGTGGTATGTATATGCATCTAAAGCCTAGAAAAGTTGATATCACTTGTAGGTGACAAGTTTGGAATAGAGGCAAATAAAGAGGGTTGGTTAGAACATCGATGCCTAATTATGTCAGTTTTTTTGTCATGATTTTTAAAGTATGCAACAGAATATGCTTTTTTATTCTCCACTGCTGGCAAGAATGCATTTGATACATCAATTCCAAGTCATATTAATAGGACTGTTGTGATGGTCTGGCCAGGTTCTGAGAGACTAACCACCAAATATTCAAGCAGATTATTTTGGTTTTAAGAAGGTTGAGTGAGGAACAACTTTCTCAACCCAAGGAAAGCTACATTTCTAATTAGCATGCACAAAGCATTTTCCATCAACATAAGTGCACATGATCAAGGAAAAGGTTACATTTTATTCTTTTAAATAAACAAATTGCAGCAAATGTCAAACTGTGCAAGCTGATGATCATCAGATAATTCACTTTTGCATTTTCTTCACTTTGCCAATTTGTGCCAGATGTTTTACCTCAGCTTTGTTCCCCACTGCCCAAGTAATTGTTTCTGCATAAATCTCTATGGTTGCCTCTAGATTTTTGTCAAATGATGACTTGTGACTACAATCAGGCTCAATTTGGAAAACCAGAAGTAAATTTTCAGAACCAAAAACGTCTATGCTAAAGCTGACTCCAACCATTGTTGATTTTACAGATGGTTTTGGCTATTCAGTGGTTCAGTCTGAACTTGTGTTACATAAATACATGAAAATTGTGTTTATTTTATGAATGTTTGCTTTGATACTCTGGAGAACCAGAAAAATTAGACCATATCCAAAAGAGATGTAGAACTTTAAAATGATAGGTGTATGTATAAACAGAAGGGAACAAATATGCAATTGCACTTATTTCAAAAATGGCCAACTATATGGATTATCCATGAAAATTTGTATTTTTTCAGTCACTTCTTTGTACAAAAAAAAAAAAAATTCCAGTGGTAGCTATTGAGATGATACTACTTTATTAAATATGGGTAATGATTTCATGTTAATCTCATTTTTATGAGAAATGCTTTCCATATTTAAGGTTTTAATGACACATACTGACAAAATGCATTATTTTTCTTCATAATATTTAATACATACACTATGGTTTGATTAAGAATTGTTTTATTGAATTAAAAAAAAAATTTGTTTCAGAGAAGAAGAGAAAGAAAAAAATTGGAAAAATTAGAACAACAACCGAAGCAGGTAAAAACATTTTTTTTTATAGTGTTTTGTATTTTTCCTTTATATCAGTTCTACTCTGTTTATTCCCTGCTGTTAAAAATAACTTGGTGGTAGAAACTTTGAGCTTAAACCTAATGTTACTTGTCTGCCTCTTCAATTGAACTGATTTTTACACTATTTGTAGTGTAATTAGATAGTGAAATTTTTGACTCCAAGACTTATTCATTCTTTAATTAAAAGTATATATAGTGTTCATTTCTATGCTAGGCCTACTGAAGAAGTTATTAGAGTCTACCTCTAGGGTATAGTGGCTGAAATATGACAACCACCAAGATGAGGACTGTAGCCTGAGCATTATTAGGCAAGTTACAGTTCAAATCTGTAATAGGTTTATGCAAAAATATTAATCATTTTAAGGTTTTTAGATTTTTGTATAAAGACATAAAAAGGCTAACTAGTTTGTCTGTAGAGTCAATACACTGCACCAGTGTTTATAATGTTTCTATATATTACAATATAAAGTGGTATTCGCTATTGAACTGTTGTCATGTTAGATCTATTTACTTTATCTATTTACTATTTATCAGTTGTACTGTGAGCAAATAAGACTAATTAGAAGGAATCAAATTATCTCAGTTTTACAAGAACAAATTTGGAACAAGATGGAGAAAAGGATGTTAAATAAATTGAGGAATGTATAGAAACCTGAAGTTTTCAATGAGATCAAAGTTTATCAAACAACTAAAAATGTTTTCCTTATAAAATATAAGAAGCCTATAGATTAGTGAGAGATATATTTAGAAAAGCAAGTAGAAGATATGAAAAATAGCATTTTTACATGGCTGAGTGCTTGGAACATTAGCATTTCAACCATGAGAGCAGGATTCGAATCTCAATAGTCTATTTCTCAAGCAAGTGATTTCTTGATAATATTGTCCGGTATACAGAATCATTGGGAAGTGTCTGAAAATCATACTACAGGTTGTTTGAAGCTTTTTGTGTGCAATTGTGTAGACAAAACTGTTTGGAAGTTGTTGATGAATTTCTTATCACAAATTATCATGACTGAAAATTTGAATGTACTAGCTTTGTTCAACTGCTGATCATACCAGATTATGCACTCCCTTTGAGATATTGTAACTAAGATTGCTGAGCATATTTGCAGCATAAACCACAGGTTGCCTGTTGAAGAAGCATAAATGTACCTGCGTGGGCATCTGCAAAAAAGATTAGCTCACCTCCCTAGCAGATGGATCTACTTGGAATCAAGTAGTTGGGGTTTATTATTATTATTATACAGGATGTTCCCAAAAAAATTGAAATCATTTAAAATCCGAACATCTGAGTAACTACTTGTCCCAGGCAAACAAAATTAAATAGGCTTATGTTGAGCAATAAAAGATTTATTTATCAAAATTCAAACAAGATATTTAAAGGGATGTAGATTTTATAATCGATTTCACAAATATTCAATATGCACACCACCTGTGACATAACACACAAATTAGTAGTCCAGCTCCTGCCAAACTCGCTGTAGCATATCTTGTGTAACAATCTCCAATCTTAAATTCCTCTAGGCTTGTTGGAGGAGGTGGATATAGACCTGTCCTTTCACATAGCCTCATAGAAAAAATCACAAGATGTAAAGTCAGCACATTGTCATTATCACTGGCATGCCTGACCCATCTTCCTCGTAGATTCTCAGTGATATAAGTTTACACAGTCAGATTCCAGTGAGATGGAGCCCCATCCTGTTGAAAAATAAAGTGTTCATGCTCATTAGCAATGAGCTCATCAAATAACCAGTTTTGAAGGATTTTCCCGAAGCTGATTGACAATATTTTCTGATACTAGCTGTCATCCAGACCCCTGTGCCATGTCCAAATCTCCTTTCTAGTTGGTACATTTTTCTTGAATTTTCTCGAAAATGCATGCTACACACTCTTCTTTGACTGTGTTTGAGCATATTCTAACATACAAAAAGCCTTTTCATTTTTAGTGGATGCCATTTTTCACCCTGAAAAAAAAAAAATTAAGCATTTGACTTAGTTAGTTTTTACACATCTTGTTTAAATTTGAAATCATTTGGGCAAGAATTGGCTATGTTAATAGACTACAAAATGATGTCAATTTGGTGGGTATACACTGTATAATAAAATGTCTTTTATAGTTGAACTTGTATATTTTGAATGATCATATTTATTTTAAGAGAATGTAAAATTTACAATGAGAAAAGTTTAAATTTTTTTTCTCTTACTGCTGCTCATTTGTATTAACACTTTTGTTTTTCTTTGCAGAATGAAAAATCTTCACAACATAAAAATAAAGTTTTTAACGAATCTCAAAATGATAGAAAATCCAAAAAAAGTGATAAAAAGTAAGTTATATTTTATTTGCATTTTCATTTATTTTTTGTGAACAAATATCTTTTATCTCTCATTTCATGTCTAATTCATATTTGTTTTTATTAACTTGATTTTATCAGTGAATTTGACAAATCTTTAAATTGCTCTTTATTTAGGCTTGAATGATGTATAATTTCAAAGCAATCTGAACATACTTTAAGTTCAGTTTATAATATGCTCAGCAAAATATCCCCTGGAGCTAATTTTACTGTATCCCAGACAACTTGTTGGTAACACCAAAGTGAAACTCTTTTTGCCTTTTGAAAGTTGTCAAATTTGTCTGAAAATGATCATCCTGTGCTAATATTAAAATTAATTAAAAAAAAAAAAAAAACTGTTCCCATATCATCTAAATTCAAGAAACAAATACCCATGTAATTCTTTTTCAACATGTCTGTAATGATGTTTTGCTGTTGTACCTTATGTACAAATTGTTCAAATATTCTGAATGGAGATGTTTTGAAGTTTCCATTACATAAAGAGTTAATAAGAAAGCTTATAATAAATTGTATATCCATGACTTGCAAGCAAGAAAGAGGAAAACTGACTTCAAAATGAGAGCAAATAAGATTCTTTAATCATAACATTTCTAATAATCAACTACTTATACTAACAGTAAAAATAATAAATGACCAACTTAAATTGCTTGGTGGTCAACACCTAAAATTTTTTTCAAGTTATTGTGACTCAATATTGTTTATTCAACTTTGTGGCAAAACTATCCAAATTGTATTTTTAATTAGTATTTTAGCCGTTACCTAGTTGTATTTGATTAAAGCAATAACTAAAATTTTACAGAATAAAATAGATTAGTTTAAAATTATACACTAACAAGATCCATTTTTAAATTTAAATGCTATAACATTTTTCAACTATATATATATAAAAAAAACAAACATAAGGATGTATTTTGTAGTCCCTTTTTTATAGTATGGCACTTAATAAAAACTGGTTAATTTTCTATAATTTCTCACAGATGTTTTGTATTTGTAAATGTTTTCGATTCTATATGTAAAGGTTTTCATAAGAGAAAATTAAGATGCTTAAAAGAGAAATCTATGTACCTTGCTTTCTATATATTATTTTCATTTCAGATTGGTCCCTGACACCTCAGAAGATGAGGCAGTAAGTTGTTTTTGTACATTTGATTTATTGTGAGAATTGGGATATTTAGCTATTATTTGCATTTTTGAATATTTAGATTTTTTTCGTATTCAAGAGACATGCTTCTAATAAATGCTTCAAGTTTCAACTTCACAAAAGAGACAAAAAGCTTTTTGGAAGTTTATTAGCATATTATTTATCTTAAGTCATCATATTTTCTTAGTTCATTTATCTGTTTCAATAATTTAACAACTAAACTAAGTCATTCATTCAAAAGTTGTACACATTATAATAGAATTAACACTAATCCTGATATCTTGTTCATTATTTTTTTTATAATGTGAGCTTTCTGTTCACTACATTATGTTTTACCTCCACAAAATCACTAAGAAATCAGCATAAAAACATAATCATGAAAACATGCTCCAAATGTAATAAAAACATAGTTTTACCATCAAAATCTCTGTTATTATTAAGGGGAAGGATCAAAGTAATTTTTTGAGTATTTAATTAAATTTTTTACTCCTTTTTAGAACATTCGAAATCTTGATTAAAAAGAAAATAGTTTTTCTATCTTTTAGCATAGCAAATTTTAGCCCCCCCTTTTTTTTGCATTGCCAGACACATTAATTTGGAAATTCTTGCAAAAATTAAATAATTGTCAAATTTTATGAAATTTTCAGGACTTATTCACAAATGAATGAAATTATTTTTTTTAATTTTTTTATTAGAAAATCTTGGTAAAAATATATTTATTTTTTTGTGTGTTTCACCTCCTTTCATGTAATTTTTTTGAAAACTCAAGGAAATTTAGCATGATGATTTTTAGTAACTATATTAGAATATCTTGAAGAATTTAAATCACCAAATATTTTTACAAAATTGGACCCTGTCTTATCAAAAATCTGTTCTGAATTAAAAAAATAAAAATCAATAAAACTAAGACATTATTTAATTAGAGAAATTTTTAATTGCTTTTATGAATAATATATATTAAAGACAATATTGCCTAAAGAAAAAAATAATTTCTGATAAAAAAATGAATTTTTACAAGATTTGTTTTCTTTTTTTACAATTTTAAATTGAATAATTTATAAAGTTTTAAAATCTTCTTAAAATTCGGTTTCAATGTGATAGCTCTTATGAAATATTGTTAAGTAAAAACTATATTTACTAACAGAATTTCTAAGTATGGATGTTTAAACCTATAAAATTATCATTAAAAGGTCATGTGTCTTACAGAAAAAAAATCCTCATGTAAATTTTATTGTCTGCTCCACTATACTTAACTGAAGATGTTTAGCAGTCATTCAGCTATCAATAAATTGATAAACATGTCAGAAAAACAAGACCCGTGGTTAAGAAATACTTGTATACAATATTTTGTGCAATAAGTAAGTAATATTTGTTTTGAATCAGATTAATTTTAGTTTAAATTTGCTAATTTTCCTCAAATAACATTTCAGAAATATATATTTTATTTTTGTAAGATTTTTAAAACCAAGAATTAATTTTTGTTTAAAAATGTCAAAATGGCCGTTTTTTATCGATTTTACTAAAAAAAAAACCCCAAAAAAAACAATTATTTCAATCAATATAATTTCTGTTTGAAATACACCACAGTGTATTTTTCTTACTGGAAATAGTAAATTTTAAATCCTTTATCTTTCAATTAAAGCTAAAATGAAAGTTTTTTTTTTTCATTTTTAAAACTTCATCTTAAACCTCACATATAGCAAATTAGTGGAGGTACCTAGTTTTAAGTAAATATAATTTTAAAGTAATGCTTGAATATAAAAGTTGGAAAAAAAAAAGTACTATTGCAAAAAAAAAAAAACCTGACCTTTTTATTTTCTTTTACTTTTCAAAGTAATCTAATATTTATATATTGCACAATTAGTTGTAATAGAAAATAAATAGCTTACTTATTCAAAAGTTTAAATGATTTATTGTTCCTATTCAAATGATCAGAAATATTTAAATAGATTAGTAAATTAATTTTTAAAGTATATATTTTTAATTTTTAAACTATATATTTTTAATATAAAATCAGTGCAGAGTTTCTCTTCACTTCAAATTTTATGTTAGGAACCTTGTGTTATGGTAATTTTTTAAACATAGCTTAGATGGGCACCCTGTGAAGATTGAACTCACTACTCAGTCATAATTGATCTAGTGAGATAATCTTGCTAACCATTACACCATGTTGAAGTGCCCAGGGACCTAACATTATGCATGGAAATCAGTCTTCATTTATGAAACAAAATGTTTTGTCATTGTTTAAAAACCATTAATTTCTTCTTATATGTATATAGAATTTCTTAAGATTAAATATTATTAAATTAATACTCCCAAGTGGATAACTACAAATGATGGAATATTTTTCTGCACAGAAAGTCTGTGATAGATTTTAACTACTAATATAAACTCACAGTATTTTCAGAAGAGTTTATGTAATTTAATCTTAAATTCATTTTTGGAAGTAAATATCATTTGAATTTTATTTGATGAAGCATTGTTAATTTATTAATTTTTGGTGAATATTTTTCATTTTACTTTTGTTTTTTTATTGCAACTCTATCATTATAGATTGTTTTACTTGGATTAGTCTCTTCATCTTGGTTGTTATAGTCATCACATTTTGGCCTAGTAGCGTCTGGCCCTCTTCAATTTGTGTAGTTGGTAACCTTCTGGAAATTTTGAACCAAACCCTCTATTCAGTTCATGGGAGTAGATTGTTCTCATTGCACTGTCCATGCTAGAGAATATCTCATATTAGTTCATTTTTCCTTGTCATGTCATTTGTCTCTTCCACTAAACCAGAGTATATGACTTTTTGCAATACTCATCTATGGGGGGGGTTAAACTCACAACTACCATCTATCTAAATCTATTTCACCAACACTTTTATAACAACAAAGATGTGGACACTTGAAGTAAATCTGTTTATAATAAGGACAATTCTTTATCCTTCAAATTCTTAGGAAGCTGAGGACAAGGTATATGAGTTTGAATCTTGCTGAGTTTTATTCTTTATTTCTCATCCACAATGCTTAATAACAATCATAGGAGTTGCAATAAAACATATGAATGTTGCAATAAACACACAACAAAAATAGGATAAAATTCTATTAAAAAATTAATTGATGTGAATAAATTTCAAAATGTTTACCAAATTTCTTTCATCTTTTCTGTATTACTATCTTGTTTTTATTTTAATTTTGTCCACTCATGTGTTAAGATTTAAGCTTGAAAATTTCTAAGTCTTAAATAAACGGATCTAAATTGTTGGCTCTGAAATTCTGGATATTAGTGCTATTCCAACCATTGGTTTAAATGCTACTGAAATTTATGTTGAATTTTTTAAGATGAAGAATTATTATTAAATGTCTTTCCATTTTGAATGTACATTCATCTTGGTGGTTATACTCATTATTTTGGTCATTGTACTTTTTGTCCTTCTTCTATTGTCTGTTGTACTTGGTAATCTTTTTGGAATTTTGAAAGAATCTGTTATTCAGTCCATAGACACAGCTTGTTCTCATTATGATTTTCATGCTTAGGGGATATCAGTTAGTTCTGTCTAGTTTATTCAGTGTTGTGTCACTTATCTATTTCTTCCACTGAACCAAAGTATATGAATTTTCTACACGGCCTGACCCAGGAATTGAACACAATTACCAGGAAACCAAATATGCTTTAATCATTTCTTTAATCCACTAGGCCATGTGTGAGGCACGAAGGCTAATATAGATATCCATTAACTTTCAATTTACTCTGGCTTTGAATAAATAAATTATCTAAGACAATTTATTTGAAAAAAAAATTAAATTTGCATTAAAAAGATAAATTATATACTGAAATGTTTACTTTTATATAAACAGAAATTTCTAAAGAATTGATGGATTTTATTTTTTAATCTGACATATTCTTATTATTCAAACAATTTTTTTAATGGTTACCCATGTTTGAGTAGAGGCTCCGTTTATTTTAAATAGTTATTTATTTTGTCTACCAGCCCGTGTACTCATACTGTATTTTGGGAAAATCTGAATGACTCCGTGTGCTTTAAAGACAAAATAGGACCTTGCCTTATTGTGATGCTCTTTGTAGCTAAGCAGTAAAAGCACACCAGATCAGATAACGGTTCCACCTGCAAAGGTGGACGCAGGTTTGAATCCTGCTGGAGGGCACATTTTAAGTTTTCTCAAGTATGTAGACCAGTAGACAAAATAAATACTGTTTAAATTAAATGTAATGTCTTCTCAAATACGGGCATCCACTAAAAATAATGTTTGAAATAATAAAAATAAATAGAAATGCAATTTAAGTACAACTTTGTACCGAGAGAAAGAAACAAAATTATAACTATACTATCTCTTGACAGAGATTATCAGCAAATTTATTTGTTGCCATTTGTAAGATAATTCTACTCTTCTTTACCTCACTTTTATGTCAATTTTCAAGAGTTCTCCTTTCATTTGAGCCTCTTCTCACAAGAAAATATTTTTGGGCGGTCAATTTTGAATTTGTCATGTCTGTTCCCTCCCTTAATTTGTTCTTTATTTAGAATTGTCATCTTTTCCCTATGAATCTGTTTTGCCTTTGTTCTGTTCATTTCACCTTGTTGTCATTCAATAATTCTTTTTTAAACTCTGTGAAAAGATTTGCAGTGTCTTTATTTCATTGATCCACATTTGAGTTTTTCAACAGTCATGATCAAAAAATGGTTGCTGCAATGTTAGCTATGTTTTAAAAAATAGGTTAAATTCATATGTATTGGTTTAGAATCCATCACCAGCTATTAATATTTATACAACCCACTCATTCTTTTGTTCAATTAAAATAAAACCCAAAAAAACTCATCCTCTAGAATTACTTTAAGTATTTTATAACCTATACAATTATTTTTTGATATTATCTAAGATTACTAGCAATCTTCTGCTTTATTGTCATACTTTGTAATAGCAAAAATAATTTTGTTTGCTATGTAGTAATTACTCATCAATACATATGTTAAT